AGCAGAAGCAGGAAGATCCGAAGGGAGAGGAGGCGAGGATTGGCGGTTCATTCCGTGTGTTTCTTCGGAATCAGGTTTGCTTCGGATTCGACTGCTTCGAATTTCTCTCCTTTGCCCCCCTGATGCGCACTTATTATACATAGTCTCCGCTCTTTTTGTGCAGAGTGCATGATGCATCAACATTGCAACACTACTTGCTTCTTTCGCCTATAGACACACGAATTTCGTGACAGGCCCACGAGAACGACTCCGCCGACGCCGAGCAGAAGCAGGAAGATCCGAAAGAGAGGAGGCGAGGATTGGCGGTTCATTCCGTGTGTTTCTTCGGAATCAGGTTTGCTTCGGATTCGACTGCTTCGAATTTCTCCTTTGCCCCCCTGATGCGCACTTATTTTACATAGTCTCCGCTCTTTTTGTGCAGTGTGTATGATGCATCAACATTCAACACTACTTGCTTCTTTCGCCTCTAGACACACGAATTTCGTGACAGGCCCACGAGAACGACTCCGCCGACGCCGAGCAGAAGCAGGAAGATCCGAAGGGGAGAGGAGGCGAGGATTTCATTCCTGTGTTTCTTCGGAATCAGGTTTGCTTCCGGATTCGACTGCTTCGAATTTCTCTCCTTTGCCCCCCTGATGCGCACTTATTATACATAGTCTCCGCTCTTTGTGCAGAGTGCATGATGCATCAACATTCAACATACTTGTTTCTTTCGCCTATAAACACACGAATTTCGTGACAGGCCCGCGAGAACGACTCCGCCGACGCCGAGCAGAAGCAGGAAGATTCGAATGGAGAAGAGGCGAGGATTGGCGGTTCTTTCCCTGTGTTTCATCGGAATCAGGTTTGCTTCGGATTCGACTGCTTCGAATTTCTCCTTTGCCCCCCTGATGCGCACTTATTTTACATAGTCTCCGCTCTTTTTGTGCAGTGTGTATGATGCATCAACATTCCAACGCTACTTGCTTCTTTCGCCTATAGACACACGAATTTCGTGACAGGCCCACGAGAACGACTCCGCCGACGCCGAGCAGAAGCAGGAAGATTCGAAGGGAGAGGAGGCCAGGATTGGCGGTTCATTCCGTGTGTTTCTTCGGAATCAGGTTTGCTTCGGATTCGACGTGTTTGGGGGTTTGGGTTATTGGATGCAAGGCTTTAGCCGTTTAGAGGTTTGGATTAAAGGGTGCTTTGCCGGTTAGCTGCAGCAATGACTCAACAAACAGGGTCCATCTTAGGTCTTAGGGTGCCTTGGGGTTTGCGGGGTCGGGGGTTTGGAGGGGATAGGGGGTTTCGCATTCGGGGAAGTAGGGGTTTGGGGGTCTTAGGTCTGAGGGTTCAAGGTCCCTGTCTCTCCTGCTCTCTTTTCGTTCTTTCGTTGTCGTATTCTTTCTCTCTGTTCCGTTCTCTTTCTATCTCTGGCTCTCTTTCGTTTTCCTCCTATCTGCCTATCTGTCCCTTCCATCCCCATCTCTCTCTCTCTCTCTCTCTCTCTCTCTCGCTCTCTTGCTCTCTCTCTCTCTCTCTCTCTCTCTCTCTCTCTCTCTCTCTCTCTCTCTCTCTCTCTCTCTCTCTCTCTCTCTCTCTCTCTCTCTCTCTCTCTCTCTCTCTCTCTCTCTCTCTCTCTCTCTCTCTCATGTACCGAGCATTCTTCAATTGGTTCACAAGGTGACGACAGATGTGCCCCAATACTTGCATCTTGGTCTCAAGAGAAGCAGCAGAAGCAGCAGCCGTCTCCTGACATTCGAAGGCAAGCACAGCAAACACACGGGCGCCTCGTGTGCTGACAACATGGAACCGAACTCCAGCGATTTGTCTTCTTCGGCTACTTTTGATCCACCCAGACCGACCAGTCTGGCTGCGAGTCGTCCACAGAGTCGGGTGAGACTGTGCGATCCCGGTCAAAAATGGAATCGAAAATGTACCAGCCTCCGTGGAAAAAGTGTACTGCTGCAGACGTTCCTCCGCCATCGCAGTGGGCCGGCTCCCCGAGAGGGGGCCGCTCCGCGGTGAGAGCGAAGACGGCCTGGGGCGGAGGTCCTAACCATGTCTGTATGACCGCTGTTAACTGAGGCAGTGTAATCCTCCACGGCAGTGCGTCATAGATTCGGCGAGGCACGTCTCGAACCAAGCAATGCAGGAGGGCAAAGTACTCGCCCAGCTGCTCCAAAAAGTCCCGCCTGGCAGTTTCCCACAACGACAACCCCCACGCTTCTATGAGATCTCCAAACGTGCTTTCGCTGCGGATGTGCTGGAGGAAGCCGCTGGACGGCAAGCCAAGAAGGCTATTCCCCAGGCTCAAGACATAATTGCCAACAGGCGGGAGCGGGAGCGGCACCCCGAGGGGGCCGTGGATGCCTTCGCGTGCAAGTTGATCTCGCAGGTTGTGGACATCGGTGTGCCTGCTATGATGGCCGTGTGGGTAAAGAGGTTTATAAGGTGGGTTATATCTTGGACAAGGTGAGTTATAATTTGTGTATCCTATGTTATATATAGTGTATTTGTTTGTAAGTTACATATAAGTATCTCTGAATATATATATATATATATATATATATATATATATATATATATATATATATATCAGTTGTATCCGTTTGGGTGAGTTATAAGTGGGATTATGACAGTTATGTATCTTGCTGTCTAACTGTTTATAAGTCATTTATAAGTTCGTTTATAAGTTCTGCATAAGTCATGCCAGAAATCTACGAGGCTTTACGTTTTTTCCGTTTTGGGACAATGTAGATTGATTTTGATGCAGTTACGGCAATGCTTTCTTGTAGAATTCTGGACCTTTCGAATCTGTTTTCGCCTTCGAATCGCCGCTCTCGAATGCATGGAGGCTTGCCCCGCGCACAGCAGTTATATACAGGTGCGCAAAGCTCCGTAGCTGCCATGGGCGGGAAAGGACAAGGTGGCAAAGGCCACTGGAGGCCCAGGCCTGAGCGGTGGGTCCACCTGGGCCCATGGCAAGTGGACGAGGGCTTCACCCTAACGGCTGCGGATCGGGACAGAATCCGCAGTGAGTACAACGGCAGCAGTGCAGCTGTGCGACTACGTTCGTCTTGGGGCGAGCGGGCCCTAACGGTTTCTGGGCCTGAAGACTCCGCACACGCAGCAGCTACGGCTGCGTGGCGCTGCATGGAGCAAAGAGCGGCAGAGGCAACCGTTCCGAAGCCTCCTGCAGCCAAGGCACGTGCAGCGGCGAAACCGGACCCAAGGCCACCGCAGCAGGAGCAGCAGCCAGAGCAACCTGCACCTCCCCGCTCCCACACGTGGCCGCAGCAGTCGCAGGAGCAGTCCTGGCCTTGGCCTGGGTGGTTGCCACAAGCTTGGCCAGCAGGCCAAGTTTGGCTGCCAACTTCGCAACAGTCTGGGGCTGCGGACGAAGCCGCCCGAGCAGCACAGGTGGCCCTGGCAAGGTGCGAGAGCCTGCATGGTTCCATGGTGGCCATGTACAACAACTTCTTGGCAGAACTACGGCAGCAGGAAGCTGCATCTGCAGCTGCTTCTGCAGTTCCTGCACCCCTGCCCCAGCAGCAAGCACAGGCAACACACAGTGACAGTGACTCAGGGAGCGAAGCAAGCAGTGCAAGCAGTGCCAAGACAAAAGTCGAAAGCAAAGCCACAGTTGCTGCAGCCTCAGCACCCCGGCCGCAGAACCCAGAAGAAACAGAGAGTGACACGAACAGCGAACCGACAAGCCCAGCCACGCAACTAGGCGAGGATGATCAATCCGGTGCTGGAGGCAACCAGCCACCCAAGCCTCAACAGGAAACAAAAGCAACAGCAGCACCGGAGCAGCAAGCAGACATGCATGCCAAGGACCCTAAAGGGGAGATCATCTCGCCGACATCTCTTTGCGATGACGCCAAATTGGAGCCGCAGGACTCTGATGGGCACGAGTCGCCTACAACAAAGAAGCAGAAGACATGAGGCTTGCCCGTGTCTTCGATGGGGACGAGTCACCTACAACAAAGACGCAACAGACATGAGGCTTGCCCGTGTCTTCGATGGGCACGAACAGAAGACATGAGGCTTGCCCGTGTCTTCTTTTTTGTAATGCTCTGAGGCCGCGCTGCCCGCACGAACAGAAGACATGAGGCTTGCCCGTGTCTTCTTTTTTGTAATGCTCTGAGGCCGTGCTGCCCGCTTTCACTTTTAGGCATGCTTCGCCGTGACGCTGCGAAAACATGGGAAAGTCTGCAATGTGTGACAACAGTGACAACAAGCCATGCTTGTGCAACATGTTCAAGATACTCGATGCTTTCTTTCGTTGTGGCTGCTCTTAGCTGCTTCAAGGCTTGCCTGAAGCATCCAGGAAGTATGGTTGTGATGTGTTGTGGTTCCCTAAACCCCGGAAGCTTACACCCTGAACTCTACCAACACCGGAAGCTCGAAACTTAAAACCTTGAAGCCTAAACCCTATAAAGCCCTGAAGCTTAAACCCCTGAAGCTTATATACCTCCAGCCTTAAAAACCTAAACCTTAAGCCCCTAAAACCTAAACCCTAAACCCGAAAATACACAAGTTCAAACTGTAAACTTTAAACCCCTGAAACTTACACGCTATAACCTCCGAAAACAGCACAAACTCTTAATACTTTATCCCAGGAATGTAAGTCAGCATGAAACCGCTACAGAAGGCCGCCAAAACTTTGCACTGCTTGCCAGCAACGGTAACTTTCTCCGATGCTGCTGTTGTTGCAGGCAACGACAATGTTTCTCACAGGCACGCCCGCCGGCAAGAGCGAGACAAGGCTTTAGATATTGCCCAAGAAGAGAACCTATGCGGCAGCATTCTTGCAAGCATGGATGTGCCCCTCGAAGGAAAGAACCAGCCGTACAAGTGGTTTTTCCTGAATCCAATGGCACTGATTTTCAAAATGGCATCCGTCAGGCCAGAGTTCGGAGACCTCTTGCACAAGACATCTTTACAGGATGGCAGTATGGATTTGGTGCTGTATTTTGACGAGATCAAACCGGGCAACATCCTTCGTCCAGATGCTGGCCGTGCTCAACTCTGCATTTATTTCACTTTTGGAAATCTGCCTCACTGGGCAAGAAGTCGTGCATGGGGGTGGTGGCACTGCCAGTTTTCCAATGAAGCTTTTGGCTAAAGTGCCGGCGGGTGCATCGTTTTTGATGGCCCGTGTTCTGGATGTATTTTTTGGTAGAACATCGTCACTGAACTTTGCAGATGGTGTGCCGTGCATTTCTAGCTGCGGTGCGTTCGCTCTGAAGGCACATTTCAAGACACTGGTCGCCGATGAGAAGGCTCTCAAGGAGGCCTGGTCGCTGAAGGGTGCCAGCGGCACAAAGCCTTGCTATGAGTGTGCAAACGTGGTTGGGCATTGCGCGAAAGAAGATGTGAATCCAGCAGGCTGGCTGCAACATATCACCTGCGCCGACAGGTCGAAGTTCCACGCCCACACGGAAAGCAGCTTCCGGAACATGGCCAACAATTTGGGGGCTGCCAGAACAGCCAGCGAACGCAACAAGCTTTCCCAGGCCTACGGTTTGACCTACCACTCTGACGGCCTCCTTCGGGATGGGTTTTGGGGTGAGAAAGTGAGCCCGATCAGACAGAGTTGCTGGGACTGGATGCACGTGATTGTTGCATCTGGTGGTGTCGCTGCGTATGAATGCAACTCCTTCCTGTTGGAGCTGAAACGGCAAGGCATTCCTTTGTCCACTTGGGATGCATTTGCTGGCAAATGGAATTTGCCGAAAGCCCGTGATTCGCTGAGTGCTTCATTTTTCCAAGATCGTATTCAAGAAGATGGCGAGCCCTTGAGAGCATTTGCAGGAGAAATGTTGGATGTAGTTGTGTTTCTGGACATGTTTCAGCAACATGCCCTGAAGCCACAGGGCAACCTGCCCCGACATTGCAGATGCCTGGAGCTGCTGGCCAGGATTCTTGAGATTCTGCTCAAAGGCGACCGGGCCGTTTCTCATGTGGACGAATTGGAGGCATGCGTGGATGAACATGCGACCCTATTCGTGGAGTTGTACGAGCACTGCGCCAAACCAAAATTTCATATGCTCTTTCACATCAGCAGTGCACTGCGGAGATTTGGCAATCTTTCTTGCTGGGGACCAGAGCGGAAACATCGTGTTGTGAAGTCTTTGGCTCCTTGTCCATAATCTTTGCTTTATGTGTGTATATATATATATATATATATATATATATTTATTTATTTATTTGTTTCCAGTTTGCAGCCCACAGAACCCGTTGAACTGCTCAGGCCCCTATCTTAATTGCTCAGGCCCCTGTATCAAGCCTCAGCCACTGTCTTGCTTACATTAACAAACACACAAGTATCTTAGGTTGGCTCTTCCGTGGCCAATGAGTTGCAGAACAACCTTGCCGTGCGAGCATGCGGCCAGGATTTGAAAGCAATAGAAGAAGGTGTGTTTGAACCGACCGCTTTGGCCAGTCCTCTGACCGACCTTCATTGGGCTGTGGATCTGTTAGCTCCTGTCCTTGATGGTGCGCAGCATGTGCAGAGATCCAGGAAGCTGTATACATCCCGTGGGTCCGTGTTTTGCGGTGATGTGTTGTGGAGTCGATGCCTGCATGTGACTTATCAAGTGAAGGCTTGCCTGATGGCTGTAGATCATGAAGGCCGGAAGCATTTCCTTTTTCATGTCAGTGAGCACAAAAGAGTCAAAGGCAATCGCTTCGACGAAGCTGGAACATTGGGACTTATCTTCTACGAGGAGGATCTTGTCCCAGTGCAGTACAGTGTGTCACTGGCTAGACAGATTGTCATCTACACTGGCACAATGCTCGGGGAAGTCTGAGGCTTGCCCAGACTTGATTTGCAGACTTGATTTGCTTGTTTGCGTTGCAGAATAAGCCCTTCCTTGCCACTGTATGCCGTGCCCCACGACAGGAGGTGTGCATGCCAGCTTGATGTTTATTTTGTATTCGGCTTGCTCAAGCACAATCGGAAGGCTCCAGCCTCTGATTTCACGTTTTGCAGCCAAGGGTTCAGCGGCCGCACATTGCTATGGCAACCCCATCTCCTGATGTCCAGAAAGAAGGTACCCAGCAGGGCGAAGCTACGGCGGCTAAGGAAGAGCCGCCTTCGCCCAAGGTGAGCCAAGAGATGCTGGCATTGCCACCGCCAGCTGCTAACCCTGTGCCTTCGGAGACTCTTTCAAGCATGGTTCAGGATACGGAACCTGAGGCCGAGGAGGTCCAGGTGCATTGTGGCTCTTGCCGCAAGACCATCGATGCAAATAATGCCATTGTGGTGTGCAGAGCCACTGCAAAGAAGAAGGCTTCGTGGAGATGCAAGAGTTGCCATGCTTGCAAAAGTGCTATCCAAAGGCTCCAGGGCCGCCATGGCCAATTGATCCAGGACTTTCAAGCAATCGACGACAAGGACAGGCTGGACAACTTCTACAACACCTTTGGCCATCTTCGTGGCTCCGAGCTGGTGCACCAGATCAACAGCCTTGTGGAAATCTGCAAGACGGAGAAGACCACGCACGC